GCTCAGGTCATGATCCTGGAGTCCCGGGATCGAGTCCCGCATCGGACTCCCTGCTCGGCGAGGGGCCTGCTTCTCCCTCTAACCCTCCCCGCTCTCATGTACTCTCTCTCTCTCTCATTCTCACTCTCTCAAAATAAATAAATAAATCTTTAAAAAAAAATAAGTTAAAGAAAGGAAAAAAGTCAAAGCAATTCTGAGTATGTTTTATCAAACTACTGACATACCTCTTTGTTGAGATGACTAAATAGTAATTCTAGACAGTAACATGACAGCTCTAAAACCGATTTTTAGGCCAATAAGGTGGTAACTACTTAGGAACAAAGTTTTTTGTTTTTGTTTTTTTGAAGATTTTATTTATTCATTAGAGAGAGAGAGCGCACAAGCAAGGGAAGCAGCAGGCAGAGGGAGAAGGAGAAGCAGGGCTTGATCCAGGACCCTGAGATCATGACCTTAGCCGACAGCACATGGTTAACTGACTGAGCCACCCAGGCGCCCCAGGAACAAAGTTTTTAAGAACATTCTCAAGACTATGCATATATTTACCAACTCCACTGTACAATTCTCAATTTCTTGTGCTAAGACGGCATTCATTAAAAAGGATTCCTCAGTAGCGGAAGTTACCATTTCAACAATATCCTGCTAAAGCAAATTAGGGAAAGACAGGTAAGTCATCACAGTAGTAGTAATCACAGGAACAATTTTATTTTGTTAATGAATGCTCATTTCTAAAACTAATTTAAAATACTACCTGCATTCACAAAATATTATTTCTGAAATATCCTAGATAGGCTGCCCAGTTTTCCATATGCCTCCACAAATGAAAAACTGGCACACCCCTGCCCTCTGTGCTGCCCATACTTTCCACTCCTACTTCCTTCACCACTGCACACCTCATATCAAACACCTTCATAGCTGTGTAGCTGAGACCACTTTCCTTTGAAGCATTTTGTCTAGCCCCAGCCCCTACCTCTATCCTCACGCCAGTACCAGGTGGCAGAGGAAGGAGAACTATAAACAGAGGGCTGAAAGTGGGGGAAGGGATATTAATATCCCCACCTAGGGCCATGGCAAGATTCTTGCCACCACTGCTGGAGCTGTCACTGGCAAAAGGGAAGAAAAACTGTGTCCCCTGGAAGGGGAACAAAGGCATAAAGGAAGAAGGAACAAGAGAAAGCCAGAAATTCTCCATTCCTTATCATCTCCTTTTTTCACTGCTATAGAAACAGGCGGCCCCTTTTTCATCTTTAACCAGTCTTCAAGTTAGGAGCCTCCTACAACAAAGGGTACTTGATTTTTCATTCCAGCTTTTAAAATTTTTAGTGAATATAAGGAGTTGCATTTTATTTTTTAATCTACATGTTTGTGGGGACTTATTTTTTTTCTCTTTTAATTTCTATGAATATTCTACATTTTAGGTACTCTCAATTTTGTAGTTACTTTACATAAAAAATGTTCTATGAAAATTTGGAAATGATTAATCAGAATCAATATTCTTCTGTCGTTGCGTTCCCATTCCTGATTATATTTCACATCTGTTCACTATTTTTGGAAGCAGAATAAGAATGGAATTGAAAATTAAAGCATAAGTGTAGAGTAAAGGAGTTAAGAGGGTCAAGAGAACTGGTATATCAATCTCTTTACTTCAAGCACTTGGGAAAATCTGTTTTGTTACTATGTTAAAAAATCATGAAGTAAACAAACTTGCCTGATCATAATTTTCAGTAGGTGCACTCAAAGAAATGCCTGAGCCCAAATAAGGAAGACAGTACTACTGGCAACCCAATATCTCAATATCTAGTATACTATCAAATCTTTAGTAAAATACATTGCTTTAATGCATTATAAAATTGTCTTTCCTTGCAAGGGCATTCAGTTCCAATGTGGATTGACTTTTAATTCCCTGAGTGGTTATCAAAATACAGTGATGATGGAACAAACCAGAAAAGCACTAGTTTATTTTTATCTGGTTTGGCTATAATATTTACATTTGTACAACCACTAAAGTGACAATGGGGAATATATTTTAAAGCACATCATTTCCAATGATGCTTTTAAATAACTACTTTTTGTGAATAAAAATTACATCTTCAAATAAAATTTTTAAAAAATTTTGTTTGGTCATGGATTTTAGATAGCCTTTTGGATTCAAGGTTAAGGTAATTATAGGTCTAAAACATAGCCTTAGAGGTGAGAAGAGTGAATTTATGATCAGAAACAAAACATAGGTGCACTGTCTAGAGTCCTAAAAAATTCCATGATATTGAATGTGGGGCCCAGTAGCATTCTCAGGATATAACTGGATTCAAGTACACTCATCTATTTGATGTACCATGCAAAATGTTACAGTATGAAACTACTTATCTTGTAATTTACTATCCAAGCTTCAGAAAATTCTGTTCTGTAGATGAAAATCATGCTTTACATAGTACTGCCACTTACAAAACAAATTACAGAATAAGATGAAATATAAACTATAAATGTAAGAAGACATATCAGAGTCTCAAGTTTCCTTCACTCTGTGTCAGAAAAATATTATTTTTATGATTTTCTTTGATTAACTTACCTCAGAATTAATATTTTTATTGATATCCTCATGAGAGCTACACTTAGATCCATCAATCACATCCTTCCAAGTTTTGGATTGATTTAAGTCTTGCTGGGAATTTTGTTCTTCCATCATGGAGGTCTCTGAATTATGGAAGTAAAGATTTCACCAAAATATCTTTCAAACTTAAATTGGAATATGGTTGTTAAAAAAGAAAGCTTCTAACAGAAAACTTGGAATCCAAGAATTTAAGCAAAGGGTGTACAAACTTTCTTATAGTTTCCCAAGTCTCATGTATATTTATCTTCTCTTTCCCCTTGTCTGCTTCTTACCACCTCCACTCCCCATCCTCCATCAACTATCTCCTCCACACTCACTCCAACACATGCACTCACAAGACAACATGGATAGTTCAAGCCCATCTTGGTGTATGGTTCAGTAGATTTTATGCCTTCAGGACAGGTGATCAGGAAGCAGAGATTCATTCACTACCAAAGTTGGTTTTATTATTCCTTTATAATAGTCACAATAATAATCAGTAATTATTAATACTCCATGTATCCTCTAGGCGGATGGAAGTATCTATGTCTCAGGTTAATTGTATGGTGTGAATGCTATCCTTATCACGAGGTGACTTTTCATGTTAGTTGTCTTAAAGTGAAACATTACCCTCCTAGATAAAAATAGTTTTATCTGTTGAAGGTTTAGAGTACTGCCTGTAGGGATGGGGGAGACAGGGAGGAGTGAGATTAGGAAGAATCCACATAGTATATATACCTCATCTTTTTAATGTAGCTTGTTGGGCAAAAATTAATCTGCAGGCAATGCTGATGTAACAATTTCTTTTAAGTTGAAATACTCTTCTAAAGAGATAGCATTTATACATGGGAATATGGAACTGGATCCCATTTTCATTTGAAATGTAAAGTGACATTTTTGTTTCTATAACATTCCCTTCAACACAACAGTTAGGATGTCTCACCTATTATGTTTTTGCTTTCCACTTCTTCCCTTACTGATTCCTTCTGTACCAATTTTCTTCCAAGTTTAAAGCCAGAGGACAGAAAGCATTTTGTAAACAACTGTAAAAACATACATTTTTATTTCTTGTTTTTGTACAAGTAAAACAATTCAATAAAATACAAGCACATGTGCTAAAAAATGAAAACTATAACTCAAGCACACACATCAAGCAAATTAACTCAAAAGTAAGGGGTATTTTTTACAAGTTTATATTCTGTTGTATACATGAATGTAAATATGCATTTATTTATTTATAACCAAACACTGCACCTACATAAAAAGATGAAAACTATTACCATTTTCAGTTCAGCATGAGTCAAATCCTGGGCAGCAGTTGACAGAAGTGTGTCCACTCCTCCCTTCTTCTTCCACATCATTAATCTTTGGGTAGGAGGTGCAAGTTCCAAAACCATAAGTGTGTCCGTAAAGGAAGTAAGTTGTTTATGCATAATTTTGTTACTGATCTCCTTGATTGGATCTATGAGCAATTTCCTCTTTCTGCCTTTTCTCTTCTCGGCAATGTCTAAATATAAGAAATAGGCACAAATGTGATTGGTTGTACAGCTTTGTAAAATGATATTCTAGGCACTGCATATCTAAGAAACATCTACCACAGTGCAACCTACAGAGTTGCCATGGGAAGAAAATCCCTTTCTCTCTACTGAAAAATTACGCTTCACAAGGTTTTTGCACAGCTAAAGAACCTGAGTAGCCAACAGTTGATGCATTTTGTAAAGTGTTCCTTCAAAGTGCTTAGGAGGGACTCTCTTGACTTAGCAGGAAGACAACTGAGGAAATTTGGAGCAGAGGATATAATGAGGGAAGTTGCTCAATTTTGAAATTCCCTAAAATATCCATATAATAGGATATTTTGAAACATTAATTTGTATTTGTCCAGTATATTTTTCCCTCCTCCATTGAAATTCATACACAAATTCCAAGTAGGTAGCTAGGCCCATGGGATTTCACTCCTTTAGATAATTTTACCAGGTAGAAAGAAAGCAGAAGTTACACTTTCCCTTAGTAAAGATGCAAAAAGGGAAGATTAGATTTCCCAGAATGGGTGAAGATCTGAGATCAGAAGGAGCCAGATGGAAAAGTAACCTGCCTGCTAAAGTGCCTTAGTAAAATCCTGGGAACGCAACAAGATCCCAGAAGGGCTGCTGTGTGATGACCCCAGAGGCTATATAGACTGGGACAGTGGGTACCACAAATTGTTGTGGCTGATGACCTGAGTTTCCTTTCCACCTGCCACACCCCTCCCCCAAATTTTGACACTACATGGCTTAGGGCACACAGGGGAACTGTACAGATTGAAATTTTTGCCAACCCAGTGAGATAGAAGCTCAGAGTTGCATACAGTAAAGAAAAAAAACTTGAGTGCTTTATTCCTTGCATGCCTGAGTTTATAACTGAAATTCATATCAATTATACTACTTAAAACTATGATGCCCTTACAAGGTCAAGTTATATATTAGATTCATATTTATCTTTTATTCCTAAAAATATGCATGAGGTTAAATGTTAGAGGGCATAGGCCTCTCTTCTGATCCTTTTATTCTGCCTTATTTTATATTTATTTGCATGTTTATCTATCTTCCCAATCAGATTGTAAGCCTTTTAAAAGCAGGTACTATGTCTTCTTCATTTCTCAGCCCAACAGAGAGTAATGGTTCTGTAACTACTGGCATTGAACTCAGTTTTAGATTTTCCAGTTTCCCTAACTGGGTATATGGCTTGACCACGACTGGCAATAATGAAAGGATCACCTCAAATTTCCTCCACACTCTTTCCCTATCATATTGCAAATGTTATTACTGGGTTGACTACCTCCAATATTTCACAGATTATCTCACAGTAAATAAGATAGTGTACCAAAAATAAAAACAAAGGGGGGCCTGGGCAGCTTAGTCGATTAAGCAGCCAACTCTCTTGATTTTGGCTCAGGTCATGATCTCAGTGTAGTGAGATGGAGCCCTGTTATCAGGCTCCACACTCAGTGGGGAGTCTGCTTGTGGATTCTCTCTCTCCCTCTCCCTTTGCCCCTCCCCCCTCAAATAAATAAATCTTTAAAAAAATTTTAAAAAATAAAAACAAAAACATGAATGAGTCTGACCTGCAGCATCAATTGGGTCAAGGGTAAATCCTTGTTCTTCATTTGATAATGTTTCATCCATTTTTCCATTTTCAGGTAGACATATATACTCTGGATTATCTGGTTCCACTAATAACATCACCATAAGAGGAATTATTAAAAAAATAATGGTTATGTTATAAGTTAGATGCTTGTATGAGAATGAAAGCAAAAGATAATGATAATTGAAGATTTATATTGCTAACTGGAACCAAACCTGATATTTAGAATCATGTACTTAATTGAGTTGAAGAGACACAGAGATTATATGGTCTGGGGCCCAGTGTCTAGGTGAGTCAAGTATCATCACCTTCTTCTGCACATGTAACATCTAAGGTTAGACTTAGTAGAAACAGTGGTAGCAACCACAGTAAATGACCGACATAAATTTGATTATATGTCTACTAAAAAACTTGTATTCTGTTAAATCACTTATTAGTTGACCCATAAAGAACCATAAGTAAACTTATATCGCCTCTCTTTTTACATTTTAAATTTCTACTATGTGTTAGGAGGGAAATGTAACATCAAAAAGAGTGAAGAATCAAAATGGGGTTATTTATGGTTTTAATTCTCAGGAAAAATCAGACAGAAAGACTTTAAATAATCTGAGTTACCTTCACATGAATTTCAAGTAGAAAATATCCCCACATCTGTAATTTTTCTCAAATTGTATATAGATTGTCCAATTATATTAATGCCAATACAGTATTAATATTAATAATTAACAATATTAATAATTAATAACCACATTAATGTCAAACATTAATGATGTTTTTGAACATGTAGCACATATTATTTTAATGATTCAAAAGCATAGTATTTTGGCAGAGTGTTTAAATGTGCTCTCATACCAAAAAAACCCAATCCTGGTTAAATGACATTGTTGTACATTTCTCGGAGCCTAGTTTCCTATTCCATATTGTCTAGGGTCAGACTCAAGAGAATTTGAGGGACAACATTCTTTACTATCATTCACTATACTATATTGCTACTTAAACTGTGCAGTTATAAGGCTTAATCTGAATATTAGTATCTGTTCACTTTCTACACAAAGGATAATTTCATCATACCCACTATAGTATCAGGAGGCTCAGGAGGCAGAGAAATTTCTCTGCTCAAATGCATATCTTCTAACAGGACATTTTGATCATCTTGCAGTAGGTTGTCTTAAAAAACACAATAAATACTTTTGTCATACAGAGTTGACTGTCATTTGTTCACTAAACATTTATTGACATTATTGTATACAGGATTGTAAAGTACAACCCTACTTAAGTAGATTTGATTTGTTACATAGACTATCATATTTCAAGCAGGATAATATAAAAATTTATATATATCATTCCCTTTCCTTTATTAAATAGATGTTTAATTTCAGAAGATATTTACTAAACTAATACCAAGATAGTAACCTTATTACACAGCCATGTTTAGATTTCAAATCAAGAAGTAAAAGCTTTCAAAATTCTTTGGTAGAGATTTAAGGTAGAACCACTGTTTTTTCATAATTTTGAAATTTCAAAAAATTTGCCATAACCAGCCTTTTAAACTAGAGAATTAAAAAAACATTTATTTAGCCATCAATATCTTTAAAATATGTGTATTTAGATTTCCCAGTTTTTGTCTACCCTATTTCTATGATTATTTTATAATAACATCATAATATAAATATAAAATTATAAAATGTTGGACAGATCCTTTAGAATAGCTGTTTCGCAATTTCTATTAAGGAAAACAATGTTTTCTAATATATTTTGTGAGGAATATATTACCTCCACTCCCTCCCCTTTAAAAATTAGGAATTTGTAAAAATAGAAACAAGTAGTATTTTATAACCTATATGAAAAATGTGTTTAAATAGGTGGCTATACACTTAGACCTAGCCCAAATGTTTAAATACACCATAGATTTTGAAAACTTGTGTAAAAAACATATTGATTTATATGACACAAGGGCATACCTGAAATTTTAGTTTGATCTAATAAGCCTATTAATACATTCTAGTATGATTGAAATATCCAATTTCTATATAACCAGACAGCATACCAATCATCTCTCCTGCAGCCCCTTCATCTCCAAATCCATCTGCACTGTCATAGAACAGAGATTTTTCTCCGGCAAGGCTTCCAGAACTATGTTCAACTAAAGGACCACTGGAATTCAGCAATATGTTGTCATCAAAGAGGCTATGTCTTCTGAGAATTTCTGGTTCCTCCCCTAAATAAATATATATCATTAATACTGAGTTAGCCATAGAAACATAGAGTTTTAGGGTTAGATGGAAATTCAGATATCTTCTTGTATAGCCCCTCCCATTTTACAGATAAGAAAAATGAGAGCTAAAAAACTTATTTGAATTGTTCAACTAATGTCACTCAGTTAATCAGTGGAGACTGGATTTCTAAAGCAATAGGAAAATACATTAGGATAGAGTTTTTAGTTGTAGTTCAGTTTAATAATTTCCCAGAGGATTATTATTGGCAGTGGAATGATTTCTTCTACATTAGATAGGTCATGTCCTGCTTGATAAGCATTATTTCATATTATTTCAAGTACAATTGCTTGTGTTGTTTATCCATAATGGAGGTTTGGAAAATAAGAAGCATATGTCTCTTCTTAGGAATGGAAAGGTAGGTAAAATATTAAAGAATGGGCTTATAACACTCATTCAATAAACATTTATTGAAGGACTGGGTATTAGGCAATCTGCTAGGTGTTGGAGATATGGCAGTCAAAAAGACAAAACCCGGTCAGCTAACATTAACCGAGGCTAACATTAACTGAGTATTTATTATGTGCATTATATTATGTAACAGAAGATACTATTATAATCCTTATTGTACAGACAAGGAAACATGTCCATAGAAAGGTTTTATAATTTGCACACAGGCATACCCTAATAAATGACAAAGCCAGGATCTGAACCTAGTAGAGACAGGACCGTATCTGTTAGAATTTCACTGGTAAAATATTTTGCAAAATGGCAACTTATGAGAGCAAACTCCTAAGACTCCACAGCAGCAGATAAAATGAATGCTTTGTTTCAAACTGACTTGCTTCCAGACTGGCCATTAGCACATGTATATTCTTTCCCTTTCTTGGGTTTCAGTCTCTAGGTCCAGGAGTCTGAAACCAGCGGTCAGACAGAGGTTGGTCTTCTCTTCCCGCTCTTTAACAACCCATGTTAATTAGTGTTAGTCAGTTGAGAAAATAATGAAGTATCACTTATATTAAGATTCTTCTATAGGCCTACATCTCCTAGAAAGGAAGAGTTGAAAAAGGCCTTCGGCTCGGGTCATGATCCCGGGGTCCTGGGATCGAGTCCCACATCGGGCTCCCTGCTCAGCGGGGAGCCTGCTTCTCCCTCTGCTTCTCTCTCTCTCTGCGTCTCTCATGAATAAATAAATAAAATCTTTAAAAAAAAAAAAAAGAAAAAGCAGCCTTCATTGCACTGGATTAAAGATGTGCTCAATAGAAGACTGACTTAAAAACAAACAAACAAACCAAACCCCCCTCCCCAAACCAAAAATATGTTCATATCTTCCAGAAGCAGCTTGAAAGCTCCCAAAAGAAAAACCAGACTTGGTTAATAAGATAATAACATTTATGAACAGACACTATATTCTGAACACTAGCATCACGTTACCAAGATTACTTAAAAAAATTAAAAAAATAATCATTGCTTTCAATCTTATATTGTAGTTCAGAATAGTATGGATTAATATTAAACATTTCTCAGAAAACATTATGTTTGAGCTAGTTTTTGAAGGAGAGAAAAATCACTTATTGGTGAAAAGGACTGAAAGGGAAATAACACTCTGATGATGCTAATAGTATCTCAATTTTACAAAAAGGTTAGTAAGGCTCAGAGAAGCTAGGTAATTTGCCCAATATCACACAACAAGGCAATAGAGAAAGCTGATTCAAACTCAGGTCTGTTGCTATACTAAGACATGTTCTTCCCCTTTTTTGAATTGTAGGAGACACAGACTGAGAACAGCTAAATTGTATTGGTTGGCTGGTAGGACATTTAGAGCAAAAACTCTGTAGTGAGAATAAAACAAAGTTGATAAAACAAAGAAGATGATAAACTGGTATAGGGCTTTGAGGATAGGCAGGGGTGTCTAAAGTAAGTCATAGGAATCCAAAATACTTAAGTAGAGGAATGTGATATGAAAAAAAAAAAGGAATTTAAGGACAATTGTTCTTGCAGAGATATATAAAATGTGGGAAGAGACTGGGAGATGTGTAGGAGGGTATTATAGTACTCCAGGCCTTTAGTACTTTTGAACTATATGTATATATACACACACACTATATATACATATAGTATATATACACACACACACACACACTTTTTTTTTTTAAGTAGACTCCATGACCAGCATGGAGCCCAATGTGGGACTTGAACTCATGACCCTGAGATCAACCTGAGCTGAGGTCAAGAGTCAGACACTCAATCAACTGAGCCATATAGGCACCCCACTACTGGTGAACTATATAGGTGGCTAGGGAAACAGAAAGAAGACCTAAAAGGCATTTCCAATTTTTTGTTGTTGTTGTAAATCAGCACTGGTATGAAGCTTACAGAAAGTGTAGATAAAAGTGATCCTAGTGGGGCACCTGGGTGGCTCAGTTGGTTAAGCATCCGACTCTTGGTTTTGGTCACGATCTCAGGGTTGTGGGATTAAGCCCCACATGGGGCTCCACGTTGAGCGCAGAGTCTGCTTGAGATTCTTTCCACCTCCCCCTTCCTCCCCCTCTGCTCCTCACCTCCCCACCTCCCCACCTATAAGACAGTCAAAGATGAGTATGACACAGATCTTATCATCTTGGAATTCTCAGACCAACACAGGATGTATATAATATCATGGTGCAAGACAGAGGTAAATGCCATAAAAAGAACAAATACTATATGGCTTCAATTCTAAAATACACTCAACAGTTTCTGTTTCACAATCAATGAGTATGTATTTAGCATGTGGTATTTCCTCCTCAGTCCCAAGCCATGTTAAAATCTATTTTTTTTACAATTGATATCATCATATACTGGAGGAATTATCATATTTTGAAGGTACACTATATGCAGCACACATGTAAAACCTTATATATATGTTACTACAGCAAATGTTTATTTTCATGTCTCTCTCACAGCCTGAAGCTCCTTCAGGAAATGCTTCTGCAAACTTCATACTGCCTATACCTATGACGGTACCTACGTATAGTAAGTATTCAATAAATGCTTGTACACTAAGAAGGGAAGTTTATAGCCTAAGACTGAGTCTTGGCATTGACACCTCTTTAGAAAAAGGTAAGGGCAAACTTACTGAGAGTTGCATTTACACAACAAAAGATTCATTCTAAAGATATTTCTACTGGCGTAGAGATAGCTATTTCTATTGACATTGTTTCAGTACAAAAATGCAAGTACAATTGATTATAGCTTGTAATTTTAATTTCTCAAATATTCTCACCAAAGCTTCCAGCTTGGAAAAGTAGATCATTACCATAATCTTCTGTAAGTGTGATTTCCTCTGGTCTGCTTTGGTTCTGAGTAAAGTGTTCTGAAACATCAATAGCACTATGGAGAAACAGAAGATTGAGAAAAACATGGGAACAGAACCCAAGGATTTTGCAGTATACTGAAAAAAAACCAAAACCCCTAAAACAAAAAACAAGTTTTATTATAAAAATACTTTTATTTCCTCAATAGTATTATTTACAAACACTAGTTTATTGTACATGCATATATACAAATGATCTCTAGGTTGCCAAATCCAGTGGTCGATTCTCAGTCATTCTCTTACTTACCCTAACCAACTGCATTTGAAACAGATGTTCACTCCCTCATGGAACAATCTTCTCTTGGCCTACTTTCTCCTGATTTTTTTCCTACCTCATTGGCTGCTCTTTTTCCATCTCCTTTATTAGTTCTACCTCATCAGACTATTAGCTACTAGGAATGACCCAACACTCTGTTCTCAGATCTCTCTCTTTTTAAAAAATTACACACATTCCCTGGAGGTCTCTTATGACTCATGGGTGAAGTTCCAACTATATACTTACAACTTTCAAATTTATATATCCCAATCCAGACCTCTTTCCTGAATTTCAGACAAAGATATTCGACTACCTGCCTACTCCCCTTGGATGTGCAACAATCATCTCAAAATTTATAAAATTTATAAAGCCTAATTTAGCCTTTACCCTGCCCCTCTTAAACCTGCCATTCCCTAGTTATCCTCATCTCATTAGGTGGTTAACCCCATTCTCATGCCCAAATCATATAGTCATCTCTCCTTCCCTTAAAGCCATATCCAATTCTTCAGGAAATCCTGTTGGCTCTGTCTTCAAAATATATTCATAATTTGACTGTTACCACCTTGATAACATGAAGACTGAGAAGTGAAGTGATCACAGACACTGTCATTTCTCCCTTGGACTTCTTTTTTTTTGACGGGGGTAGTACCGTTTATTAAGGAAGAACAAGACAAAGACCACAGGAAGGACCCTTCTAGGACACAGAGGCCAGGCATCCTGACCCCACATTTGTGGGGAGGGCACGTGCCCCCAGTTGGGCTCTCAGGCTCCCACAGACAGGGCAGGGTTGTCATGTCCCCTTCCTGCCCATCCCAGTCATGAGTCCTGGCATCCCCCACCCAAGGCACTAACTCTTTTCAACCACCAATACCCTCCTCCCCCCATGTCCCCTGGGCCTTCACTTTCAGATCAATGTGGGGTGAGGATATGGCCTGGTGTGGGTGGGGAGACCCTCTCAGTGCTAGGATCTACTCAGTTCCTGGTAAGAGTTGGGGTGAAATTTCCTTTGCAGGCCCTGATGGCAGGGGCCCTGGGCTAGGTGTTGGGGTGGGGAGGGTCATCTGGACTTTTTACTGAAATATCTTCTCATAAGCTCTCTGCTTCCTCCCTTTCCCCCTTATAATAAGTAGCCTGAGGAAGCATGTTGAAATCAAGTCAGATCCAGTCACTCTCCTATGCTTCCTATCAGAGTAAAATAAAAGTCCTTAATGTGGCCTACAACACCCTACATCATTTATACCCCCAGCTACCTCTCTGACCTCATGTCCTACCACTCACATGCTCATTTATAGCACTCCCATCTCACTTGCCTCCCTGCTTTTCCCTGAAAATGTCCAATATGTTCTGCCTTAGGGCCTTCCCACTTGCTCTACCTGGACCATTCTTCCCCACATTACTGAATGATTTGTTTATACACCTCCTTCAGGTTTCAGTTCTGACCTTAAAAAAAAAAAGCCTTTCCTGACCATCCTGTCATTTATTTACGTTATTTTCTATTTCTTTTCATATTGCTGATCATTTCCTAGCATACTGTATATTTATTTATTTGTTTATTGTTTGTCTAAAATTTAAGATTCATGCAGACAGGAGCTGTTGTTTACTGCTATCTCCTTAGTGTTTAGAGCAGTGCCTGGCATATGGAAGGCACCCATTAAATATTTACTGAATGAATGGATGAACATACCGTCAATATTGCAAACTACATTAAGCAAATAAAATGATACATTTTTGGCATTGTATTTCAAAAATTTCACACTGAATTCAAGTCTTAGTCAACTGCATGTGTATTTTAGTTGTTAACTAGATTCCACTTGTGTTCATGAAATATGAAGGTGAAAAAAACAAAATATCAAGAAAATCAAACTGAAGGAAAATAAATAAAAAAATTTACTTCATATTCTGGGTGTCAAAATCATGAAATTCTTCTGGCAATGTGATAGCACTGTAAGCAGCTTCAAAATTCTCTTTTGGAAGGTCAACCAGTCCTGAAAAGAATCAAAAACCACATTCAGTGAGCAATAATGCTATATAAGAAACTCCCAACTCCTGCTCTTCTTCAGTCCCTTCTCAACAAACAGCCAGAGTGATATTAAAAATATTTAAAAAGCAACCAGATCAGCTCACTCCTGTGCTTAAAATGATTTAGTGACTTTCCCAGTGCATTTAAATAAAACCCAAATTTCTAATTAGGGCTTCTGCAGCCCTACAAACCTATCAGCATCATCTTTCCCTCATTCACTAGACTCCAACCATACTGGCCTTTTTGTTCCTCCAGACCTTTGCTCTCACAGCTCCCTCTGCCTGGAATGCTATTCCCTCAGGGATTTTTTACATGGCTGGGTACTTCTCATTCTTCAAGTTTGACGTTAAATTCTATCTTCTCTGAAAGGCTTTTCCCAATCAGCCTAATTCAAGTAAAGTTTTCTGTTATTTTTTGTTGTAATACTCTGTTTATATTCCTGCATAGTACAATTGCAAACTCTAATTATTGTAATAATTTAAAAAAACTTTTTCATTATCTGATTTCCTCACCAAACTGAAAGGGACCTTATTTGCCTTGTTTGTCCTTGTATCCCAGAGCCTAAAATAGTGTTTGGCACAAAATATGGGATCAATAAATATCTGTGGATTATATGAATGAAATAATGAACAAATTAACCCTATTTGATTGAGTATAAACTTATGTAGAGATTCTACAAATATTTTATTTTAAACAAAGACAAAAAACCCTGTCAACCCCAATTCAACAATATTAATTGAGGGAATAGTATGTTCAAAGCACTAAGACAAGTACTATAACAGATTCAGAAAATAAATATGACAAAGATGTTGCCTTCAAGGAGCTTGCAAACTAGTGTGAGAGGCAAGGTCTGTACCTAAATAACCATAATAAAAGGTAGAAATGATGAATGTCTTTAAATTAAATTTAAAGGCTATATTTATGATGCATGTAAACCTCGAGCACTTTGGAATGTCTAGAGATTTTCTATAATATTTCATAATAGCATGCTGCTTAGAGTCCTGAGAATTCTGAAAACAATGACAATTATGATATCTGGGTTTTGTCAATTATACTATTTCTAACACATCTCATAAAGGCAAAAACAGATACCGCAAGCTAAGCAATCCATTAAAACTGATATCAGAATTTCTTACATAAGTGTGGTAGCTTTACGTATATTTTTTATGTAAATATGCAGGAACCCTTACAAGTTTTTCAAAGTATAACCTTTTCCTGCAAACACAGGAAAAGAGCAAGGGAAAGAATATAATTTGTCCTTAACCATGGAAACTTAGAATCAGTGAAAAGGAAGTTTATATTCACTATACACCCTGGAATTACAGAGCACCACCAGTTAAAAGAGGCCACCCAAAATAAAAATGCAAAAGGGGACCAAGATAAGTGAGACAAATCAACACTGCAAGTATACCTGGGCGAAATGTCATCTTCATTTTAAGCAATGCTTCACTGCAATCTGCCAAAAGATATTTTGCCTTCCTATTATAGATTCGTACAACTCCCAAAAGAAGGTGTCCTGAAGTTCGAAGTGCAATTTTCACCTTTCAATAATTTTTAAAGTATTAGAATGTTAAGAATTAGACTCATAAACCCTATTTGAAAATTATAAAATCATAGAATTTCCTTTCTTTATAAAGCAAACATTTTGCTTATTCTTACTTAAAGTAAATTACTTAACTTTTACCTCATCTTGTAAAATGATGAACTTTTGTACTTATTCAATGAAGATAATCTCATGCACCATTTAAGTGAAATATGTTAATATTGGTTTCATGAGAAGAATATAAACTCTGCAGTCAGGCAGACTCGGGTTCAAGTCTTGGCTCAGTTACTGAGGCTGTCATTCAACCATCTTGAACTTCAGTTTATTAATAATGGCTATAACTTACTATACACTTATTTTGTGCCAGGCATTGTCTTAAGAGCTCATTTATTAATTTTGACAACATCCTCTTTTTACAGAAAAAAAACAAACAAACCTGAGACTCAGAAATGTTAGGTAGCATGCCTGACGTAACACAACTATTAATGGAGTAGGAATTAAACTTAAATTCGACTAACCCAAAAGTTCGTGCTCTTAACTACCACACTTCACTGAGGCTAAAAGAAACCCATTTCATAGGGTTGTTGTGAAGATTAAATAATCTAATGAACATAAAGCCTAGCCCAGTGCCTGACACATACGTTTTCAATTATCATTCATCCTTCTTTTAAGCAGAAAAATACTTAACCTAAAAAAATACAAAACAATATTTTAATGCAAATTCTAATATATTATTTTAGTGTTTTATAATGGACATAGTACTTTATGAAGTATTTTCATATATATTTTGATTTATACTCAATCCTTTTTTCTACTCTCCGTATTCATTTGCTCACTATTTTTCTAAGAAGTACTTATTTGGTTCCTATGACTTACATGGTATTTTGTTAAGGGAATAAGAAAGGATTACAAAACATGTGTAAAACATGACCGTTCTCTTTCAGAGTCCAATCTGTTCATGATAAACATATGAAATAGTAATTACCAACAAAAACTGACATATGTTTAAGCTCAGGTAATAAATGTTATAGGAATTAAAAGAGAGAAGACCATTTCAGAAGTAAAACTTCCTTGGAAGTTTTATAATTTTAATTTAATTTTATTTGTTTATAATTTTAATCTATAATTTTAATCAACAACATACCTTAGGTGAAAGAATTTTTTCAATGGTTATCTCTAGATTACATTCAAATACATGAGCCTTTGTAAGTTTCTTCTCCCAGTGAGCTGCAAGCCAGATTTTGGCCAATGGCCCTCGCTTACTCATAAGCACATGTGTGTAGAACATGTTGTCTGTATTCCTTAGCTGTATTTAACAAACTATAAGGAACATTAAAAGATTTAAAATTTGATTACAAAAACATTTCAGTGCTATTTTATAGCAAAAACACTTTTTATTAGTTCTATAAAATAACACTGATTATCTTCCAATTCAAGGCATTATTCAAATTATTTTCTTTAAAGAAGAAACCGTTATTTAAAATACAAAATTATAAATTAACAAGAGCTCTGTTAGATTGTGACCCACACCTGGTTTAAATGTATTCTGATCACTGATGGCTTCTTACATTCTGCTTATTTTATCTTGCAAAGGATTTGAGTTCTCTTATTAATATGGTCAAATAAAAATAGGGGAAAGCTTGGGAAAAATAGGAGATGGAAACAGGGAAAAAACAACAGGAAAAGGTGGACAAAACTAAGAAAAGTGAACACATGTCACCTCTTTTCTAAAACTTAGGAATTTGAGAACTGTTGGATCACTGGCTTGTAACCAGGTGTTGAATTTCTTTGTTTTCTGCAAGATGCTCTGGTTTATTCAACAATGTATTAACCTTTGAAGTTAAAATAATGGAACTCCAAAGGATTATAAAGTGGAAAAATGAAGAAAACAAGAAATTACAGGAAAAGAATCACAAAGCAAGAAAGGAAACAAGAATCAAATTTAAATGTTTCCAAACAAGAATGGTGAACGAAAACCTTAACTCAGAACAAAAACAGTTTATGCACATTTCTACCTATCGTACGATCCTTGAGAATATCATAAGGCTCCACTTTAAGCAAAGGGATATTATAATACTTTCACTTCTAGAGAAGAATCAAGTTATTGCTCACATATAAGTAGTATTTTAAGCTGCCACTATAAAAGCTTTTTTGCTTCTTTTCTACTTAAAGTTCTGATCAAAAGAGAAAAGCCAAAATGAACACAAAAACAAAATCAGCCACAGGATTCAAAATTTAGGTGAACTTTGATCAATGCCCATTTCCACCCCCAAAATCAAATCACTGTGCCCCAAATTAAAACTTAGGCAATCTACCAAACCACATTCCCCAGTAAGAGAGCAGGAGATTTTAATGTTTATGGCCTGTGCCTGCCCTGGTTCCACTTTCTTCTTTTCTGTTTTGTGTTTGGTATCTTGGAATAAATTCCAATTTATCTTACAAAATTGCTCCCAGGTATATGGTTATTGATGTATTTTAAGGAAAAACAACAACTCTGTGATTTAATTTTCCTGAGACACTGATTTTCCCGAGCATATATTCCACCCTCCCCCACCCCCCCAAGCCCCCCCTCCCCCAAGTCCCTCCGGGTATTTCTAGATTGGACTGGCTTCGCGCAAAGCAGAGGGGACGAGAATCGGGACCCGGGAGCCGGGAGCCAAGGAGGGGCCGCTGCTGGGAGAGGGCCCCCCGGCAAGGGGGGCGGGGGGTTTGGGGGAAGGAGGAGGAGGGGGGAGGGGGAGGGGGAGGCCGGCCGCCGGCAGCGGGTAGTGAGGGGCGTACAGCCGAGCGGGCGGGCCGCTCCGGGGCAGGGGCGTGGGCAGAGCCAGAGGGCTCGTTCAGGAGGGCAAAACCGGGTGAGGGGCGAGAAGGAACAGGCGCTGGAGGCGGGATGGGGGGGTCCGCGGCTGTGAGGGAAAGACGGCGAGCGCAAGGGCAAGGACGCCAGGGGCTTCCTCCACAAACGATTGCTCAGACTTCAAGGCCGCCTGTTCAGAGAGGGTAACTAAAGCCAGAGACGTGACCGGAGGCGCCCGTTCCTCCCCGAGAAGGGAAAGTGCGCCGGGTCGCGCCTCCAGCCTCGGAGGGCTGAGGGCGGCTGCATTCCTCCCTCAGGCGTGGTCCGCCGGGCTCGCGCCGCTGACAAGCTGGCGGGGCGAATGTGGGGATGTGAGTGGCCTCCGCCCCCATCTCTTAGGCCGCCTTCAGCCCCCGGGTCCCGCCCAGCCCCTCAGGCTGCGCCCTACTTTTGGCGCCGGGTGTGAGGAGAAGCGTGCCCGAGCAGGGGCTGGAAGACTAGTCGCCGGGGTCCACGCGTCGAGTCAGAGGCGCCTCGCTCCCGGGGCTGCCAGGCGTCAGGGGTGCGCGGCGGAGCGATGGGCGGGGCTGCAGGGGACGGGGCGGGGCAGTTGACCAGGGATGGGGTGGGCGATGGGCGGGGCGGCAGAGATGGGGCGGAGAGAGGGGCGGGGCAGTAGGGCGGAGGCGGGGTGTCCTGGCTTGCAGTCTCCTGCGTGGTGCTTGGCGCTGTCAGAGCTCTAACCTAGGACTTAAAGCAGTGAGTGGTGCGGGGGTCGGGGGGGACCGGGCCTAAAAAGAGTATGACAGGGGCGGGGCCGGGTCCTGCAGGACAATTGTGAAAGGTAATCTGACCCCCCTGCGATTCTCTCTTCCGCTAACTACCTAAGGGGTCCCTGGAGAAGTTATTTAATCACTTGAACCTCAGGTTTTCTCATCTGTGAAATGGAAATGATGCTAATAAAAGTACCTGTGCCATAGGTATTGTAAGAGAGAAATGAGACAAAGCATGTAAAGAACCTGGCAATAATAAATGCTCAAGAAACATTAGCTATTATTACTGTCATTATTAAAAAGATCAATCACATTGAACCACCCTTTGGGGACAGCAATTATTTTCCTGCCTGGGAACATCACAGCTTTCAATAGCCAAAGACAATTGCTAGAACCTAAGAAAAATCATTCCACAGAATAAGGATCCAAGGCTGGTTTCCCCCCTTGAGATTCATAGTAAATACTAATAAACCCTGGAAGAACAATGGCATCCAATATGTAGGTTATTGATAAGGTCTCAGGCTCCTCATTTACTCATGTTAAATAACACATATTCAACCAGGTATATTTTAAAGATCTAATTGTCTTTACTAAAGGATTCGTGAATCAGGCAGTACCCCATCTAGGAAGTAGAGGGGAAAGTACAAAGTAGGTTTTTATGGAAGAGCAGCGTGGCATGAGAGTTAGTAAAAGAAAAGGATTGTTTCAGGCAAGCTTGCTTTCACTTAGGGGCAAGAGCAAGGGGTCTTACTGTGCAGATTAACTCATCTTTTGGGGGGAGGGATGGAGAGGGCCCCTGTGGCTGACTCATTGGTGCCCATCAGAAAATTCCTGACTGACCAGTTAAGACTACATTTCTGGGGGACGTTGAAACTGCATTTAGCTTATGTATTAAGCCCCAATTTGGGGACTCGGCCTAAGTGACATCATTTTGGGCCTATGGTTTTCTTTTTAATACTCTCTCTTTAAACAACCTCACAAGGTAGTTGTTAGTTTTCCCCATTTTGCAATAAGAAGATGACCCAAAGAGAACAAGTGACCTGTCCTGGGTCACAGAGCTGGGAATAGTAGAGACAGGATTCAAACTCAGGACTAGCTCCCATTTTCCCACCTCAGGGTGGTGTCACTGCAACCACTCAAGAGAATATCTGGGAGACAGCCTTGATGCCCACCTCACCTCTGCTTAATGTCAGTCCATCAGCAAGCCCACCACTCACCTTCACACTACCACTTCTCACCACCTCCCCAACCCACCCTAGTCTAAGCCACCTCCCTCCTGGAGAAGGCCCCCCCAGCTTCCTCAGCAGTGTCCCTCATGTCACTTACCTCCCTTAAGCCCACTGTCCACACCAAAGCCAGATCAGTCTTTGAAAAATATAAATCAAATCACATTACACCCTGTCTTCCTCCCTTAAAGCCCTTTAGTTTTCCTGTTGCTCTTAAAATAAAATCCAAACTTCCTCCTAACAACTGCAGGGTCCTGCATGGTCTCCCCCTTACTTATTATTCTCGCTTCATTTCATGCAGGTGGATTTATCTTGACAATAGTGAATCTTCAGGTTCATGGCCCTTGTGCTTGCATGGGTCCCCCCCAAGGCCCTGGATGAAACATAGCAATGTGTTCATCTGGGTGTATGTTTTTGAAAACATTGCACAAGTAAGATATGTAATCCTTTTAAGGTTGATGTCTCCCCAGCTCCTTATCCATCACAGCATGGTGGTGGCCGTGGAGTACCCGAAGAATGTAGCTCTTAACCTTAAAAATAAAAACTGCCAGTAATTTTACCCGCCAAAGATGGGTTTATTGGGGAATAAAAGAAAATTGCAATCCAGAATGAATAAGCTGCAGCAGAACTGTAGGCGTGCCGGGGAACAGGTGAGGGGCACGCTTTTTTAAGGAGAAAGGGGTTAAGTTGGGAAGGCTGTTATGAACTAAAAGTCCATTGGAGTAAACTGGGAGTTTGAAGTATGGTGGCTTTTTATTGGCTGAGCTGTTGCTGGGGCGATAAGGGGAAAAAAAAAAACATCTCCTCCTCCCGCTGGAAGAGTAGATTAGTATCCACGTCCAAGGTCAAGTTCGTGAAAGGTCAAGTCTGGCTTTTCCTGCTGGGTCTGCAATTGACTATGAATAGTAGGGTGTGAGAGCTCCTGCCAAAACCTACCCACTCCATTTTAGTGAGGTTCCCTGTTATTAATTTTCACACAACTAAGGCAGAGTTGAGTTAGGCGTACATCTAATTTTGGTTCAGAGATGTTTTGGACTGAGTGTTTGTGTCCCCCCCAAATTCATATGTTGAAATCTTAACCCCCAGTGTGATGGTATTAGGAGGTGGGGCTTTGGGAGGTGATTAGGTCATGAGGGTGGAGTTCTCATGAATGAGATTAGTGTCCTTATAAAAGAGACCCTGCTGAGCTCCCTCACCCCTTCCACCAAGCGGGCACACATCAAGAAGAGGTGTCTATGAAGCAGGGTCTCACCAGATGTGGAATGTGTTAGCACCTGAATCTTGGACTTCCCAGCCTCTAGAAGTGTGAGAAACAAATGTTTGTTGATTAAGCCACCCAGTCTGTGGTAGTTTGTTGTAACAACCCCAAAAGACTAAGGCAAGAGGGATCCATTTATATGGTTCACAGTTGTTTTCCTCTATAGTAAGGTCAGTGCTGTCCATGTGAGTGTGGGAATTCTCCCAGGAATATTCTTAGTGCCCACTGCTGACTCA